CTTTAAACTTTCCAGTGACTTTTTTATTTTTATCAGAGTATAAGAAATGGTCTTTACTATATCCAGAGGTATCAAAATAGTGCAAGTCACATTCTATTTCCTTGTAAAAGTTCTCTGTAACTATAGCATACATTAAAGAATCTGTATCTGTCATTAGAAATCTTTTATTCTTAAATTTTGACATATAATTATAGTGGAAATCATACATTATTACTTTACTAATATCCAAAATGGTCATTCCCAAATATATTGGTTTATTAAACTTTACAACTAATTTATTTAAATGTATAGCATGTAAATTGTTATCAAACTTTTTGCTACAATCAAACCTTGGATTAGTGACATATTTAGTTAATAGTGACTCATCTTTGAGATATATATCACGAAACTTTCGTTGATTCATAATTGTTCGACCAAAGAGACTATTATTTAACAATTTGTAAAAGTCTTTTTCGAAATCATTTTTAGCCCATTTTAGTTTTTCAATATTAAAATTAATATAGGGCGCAAGCCATTTTGACTGTCTAAATTTTAAAATTCTATGGTATTTTGTAACAACCAAACCTAATTCCTCATATTTTTGTAATGCTTTGTAATGTAAAATATATTTAGTTTTGTTATTTAAATTAGGTATTAATTTGCCATTCATTTTCTCTGGTGCTAATGGATAGTCGTTATGTAAATCATGTAAGCTTTTATCATATTTAAAATCAACTTCTAAAATGTATCCAAACTCATCATTTTCATTATTTTTGTATATTTTGTAGTCTATCTCATTAGTCCAACGAAATCCATCCACGGGCAGTGGCTCACACATAGCTGTGGAGTATAGCGAGTTACAATCTAAATATATTAAATACACACTCTCTTGATTGGGATCATAGTGTTCGCCCATATATCTATTATTGGCTTTAGCGTAACGTGTGGAAATCATACTGACTCCTCCTCTAATCGCACTTTCTATGAACAAATGCATGTCAATATCTTGAAATAATCGTAATTTTATACCAGTTATTCTAAGACAGGCCTCCCATGTTAGTCCAGGGAGTGAATACATATGTACGGGGTCAAGTTTGTAATCTTTTAAACACAGGTCTCTAAATGTCTCAAAGACATCAGCCAGTAGCAATACATCTGTTTTAAGATATAAATCATGATATTCTTGTAAATTATTTATATTAAATTGAGTCCAGACATTTTTAGCATGTTCGTATTCGTTGGAAGAGATATGTTCTTTAGTTAGAGTACTATAGAATGCATCAATTGGGGGTAGAGACTCTGTAAACTAATCTGGTCCCGTCATATATTCATAGGGAAATACGCCTTTACGTTGTAGTAGTGGATTGTCTATGAATTTAAATGTATTTAAATTGGAAGCTAATTTGTATAATGGAAGGGACAGAAAGTTATAGGAATCCAAAAATACTAAATCATCAACTGAGAATGAAATTTACTTTTCCATTTCCTTGGCTATGCAATTTAATTTACGATCTAACTTTGCATATTTTCCCAAGTGTTGCATTATTAAATGCCCATCATAATTTTTCAAGTTATGGAAGAATACTGGTATTTTCTTTGTTAATTTATAGTTTAAATTACAATCATTGTGGGCATCTCCACGGTATTGGCCATTTGAATGACAATGATCACGTACCCTATCAAAATATAGAGGCTTTTCACAAATGTGACAATGTGTTGAGTTTTGGAAAGATGCCTCTTGCTCTAGAGTCATTACTAAAGGAATATATATCGACATTTTGACTTTTAATGAAGTCATAAGTCTCAAATAACCTTTTGAAAAACACATCCATAACATTTGCACCACTGTATAACTCTTCAGAAATAATTGTAGAATCTTTTACTACAACGAATGCAAATCCAGATGGAATATGGTTGTTAGAGTTTATAAAACATTCAAAATCTGCATAAATCACAAATGGGGCTTTAAGTTGATATATATAATTTTTAAATTGTAATGTATCTTGTTTAGGCATTTCCACTCGTTGGGCATCAAAGTTTTTACAATATGTCGTGTGACGTTCTAATATATCATTAGTATAAAAATGTTGCAAACACAACTTGCGAAAATGCTTCTTATGGTCATATTTTGTAGACCGCAGCATTAACTTATTAAAATCACGAATTAAACAGTAATATGATTTATGACCTTTTTGTAATAATAATAAATCTATGTGAGTATTTCTATTTAGTTTGGTTGTTCTTAATGGATATACACATTTCTGGTCTTCAACTCCAAATACATTAACACTTATATTATTTTGTGTTTCAAATTTATCCATATCAGATATTTTCACTGGATATTTTATATTTGTCATATTTAACTGACCTACGTAGGGTACATAATTAGAGACCCTTTCAGCATGTTCATTAGAGTTCCTTGGATGTAAAGCTGCTAAAATTGACCAAAGAAAGCATTTATTATCAGCATTTTTTTATATTTAAAACTGCATGTTTCGATTTAATACTCTCTGGTGTCGGAATGTATGACTTTGGAGTTAGGGGCTTTTACTTGCAAACATGTAACTGCCAATATTTAGTATGGTCATATATCCATCCACTGCCTTGGGCTTGATATTTATGAATCGACGCGTCAATCTTTAAAAGTGCATTTTCTATTTGAGACGTTAAATCTCTCTTCTCAATGTTTAGGATGGTAAGGCTTCTAAAATCTGCAATACATTCTTTTTCATTAACTAATTTGCCATTTTGATCTATTGTATATTTAATAAATTTGATTCTCCTTATTAAAGTCCATTTTATTGGCAGAGGACAAGAGTGAAGAGTCTTTTTAAGTTTAGTTTTAATCGATTCACCAACAAATTTAATGGTTGTATATGGACATTTGTTGCAAGAATTTACATGTCTTTTAAAATGACCAACATTTCTTTTACAGAAACTACAAGTCTTGTGAGTTTGTAATATATGAGATTTTAGAGCTATGTTACTATCACAGATTAAACTACAAACTTTGCACAGTTTTACCTTCATTTGATATTTTAACTTGTAGTGACGAATCGTTTTGCCTTTTTGGAAAGCGACACAGAGCAATGTTGAATGTAGTCTTCATTTTATATATGTAACTAAAAACCTAGGTTGGCATCTTCTATATAGTAGAAATTACATTTTGACAATTTCAATTAATGAAAAATAATAATTTAAATCAGAATTCTAAATTTAAATATATATTTTAATATTCAAAACAATTTTATACAATAAGATTTAACAATTGCAATTTTCAAAATCAAAACTAAATCTTAAAAGTTAAATTTGTTAAATAAAAAATACTTTTTAGCAATTCAGAATGTTGAGTCTACATTTATACAGTGTGTGTGCTATAGAAAAGACTACCTATGTTATCTATGTTGCCTCAGTGAGTGAAATTTGGCTAAGTTTTTAAAAATCAGGACTTAAGAAATTTTTGTATAGTAGAAGTCACATGAAAAACGACTAAGTGTAATTGGAGAAAAATAATCTAAGTTTAAAAAAAAACTTTGTAACATTTTTCTAAGTTCAAAAATTGGGACTTTAATGTTTAAGTTTCACTATCACAATTATATTGAGAAATACTCTAAGTTTCTAATAATAAATACACAAACAGGCAGTCACTTAACTAAGTGTCATTTCCACAAGAGCAAACGAGGAAGTGTTGAGACCATTTCAGTTAATTATACAAACAGCTCATTTCCAGACATTCTATTGGATGCCAGGACAGGGGCGTGGCGCCGGATGTCTAGACAGGTCCACGGTGCCGACGCCTTCCACTAGCCCAGCCTGCATGTGTAAAAAAACTTACCAGAGAGGAGAGCAGATCAAGATGGCTGCGCTGGCTGCGATGGAAGGGGACTGACTGAAGGAACCGGTTTTCCCCACCTTTTATACAATACCCGATGGCTGAATTCTCTACAATTCATGAAATAATTTTTACAATTGCAGTGTAATTGTTAAATTTATTTTAACAATTTCTGGTGAAAGTAAAAATCCAATTTAACTCCTGTCACCTGTCGTCAAATCAATCAGGTCAATGTGTCTGTCGCCAGGGACCTGTCTAGACATGTGTCGCCACTCACTCCCGCACCACGTTATCTCTCTCTCTTTCAATACCCCCCCCCTCTCGACATTGAATAGAACACCTGAGACTGGTCTGTCTGTATAATTAATTGCAGTGGTGTGGACGCTTCGTCGCTTGCTTGTTTGGGTTCACCGAACCTTGGCGGAGGTGCCCGAAGTAGCCTTGATGTGTTGTCAGTTTCGCTGTTGATGGCGAGAAGACCGGTCGCGCTCAAGGCCAGGAGCATGCCTGAGTTCAAGGTTAGTAGAGAGAGGTTAGTCTCTCTACTAACCTTGGCCCGAGTTCGCGTACAAACCTCGCACTGTCAAGTTGATGATTTTGAGAATATACTTGTGAATGCATGTGGATTTGAAATAGTAATGAAGTTGTACAATGGTATTGAACATTAATATAGGCTTGTATAGGTCGAGAGCAGGATTTTTGGAATTGGTGGCTAAAAAAAGCTCACCATGTTATTCTTATGGGGAAAACGTGCCTAAAGTGGGGTCTCTTTGCTAGTTCGCCACTACTTTTATTTTATTTTATTTTGTTTCCAATGGTCCAAACAAACCAATTTACAAATATTGTTTACAATAAATATTTAATGTTACTAATATCTAAGGGACAAGCCAAACATGCAATGGGACGTATTTATATTACTTAACAGAAAAATCTTGACAAGAACAACAAATTAAAACCTGAGCAAATGTAGACTAACAATGATAAATTTTTTAATAGTTAACATAGAATAAAATTGTTTAGCCAAAAATATAACAAAAATAATAACAACAACAAGCAACAACAGTAACAAATGCAATGACAATAATAAATAACAATAATAATAAACTACAATAGAAATAAATAACATTTGTAATAAATAAATAACTGATATATAACTTATAACTTGCAGACAACAAATCAAGGCAGCACCTCACAGACCAACAAGTAATAACCTGTTTTTTATCGACTCGCCACTGGTGTAGAAGAGGTCGATATCATTCGGTAAGCTGTTGGCCAAGAGTTGGATGCGGGGAAAAGTGCTGTGGAACATGTACTGGGTAGAGTATTGACGTCTAGTGAACGGATGAGTTTGGCGCAGGTGGCGGGATGTGCGGAAGTCCAACTTATAAAGTAAATCTGGTGCATCAATGTCCGAGTTAATAAGCTTCCTCATTAACAGTATGTCATTGATTACCCGTCGAGTAAGTTGTGGCCTCAAGTTCAATTGAAGTTGTAAATCCTGGATAGGAACAGTGCGGTAGTCAAAACCCATCAGCACACCAACCAAACGAATAAAATGGCTCTGCACGTTCTCAAGACTCTCGATCTGCCCAATCAGGTAAGGGCTCCAAACAGGTGACGAAAATTTAAGTAAAGGCCTGACTAGATGTTTGTAGAGGGTTCTCAATGCATTGATAGAGAACATGTTGCGACTGTTCCTTATAATGAAATATAGGGCAGAATTAGCTCTCTTGCAGATATAATTTATATGGTCTTGAGGATTTAAATTTGGAGAAAGTATGACGCCAAGGTCCTTGATCCTGAAAGAACGTGGGAGGGGTTGACCGTCAAGTAAGTAGGGGAAGATGATGGGTGTGCTAGATCTGGAAAAGGACATCACAGAACATTTTGAAATATTCAGGGTCATGTCATTATCACAGCACTACTTCATCAGTGAATCAATACCGTTCTGTAGAGTTTGGCAATCATCCAGGGTTTTAATTGTTTTAAAGAATTTAGCATCATCAGCAAAGAGCAAAATGTTCGACCCCTGAGTATGCTGCACCAGGTCATTAATAAATATTGAGAATAGAACTGGGCCTAAAAGTGATCCCTGAGGCACCCCGGAGACAGCAGAGAAAGGTTGAGACAGACAGCCAGCAACCCGTACCTGAAGAAAACGATTATGGAGATAACTTCTTAGCCACATCAAGAGGCACCCGCCAAGTCCAATAGCCTCAAGTTTGGCCACCAGGTGATTGTGACTTACACGATCAAATGCCTTCGAGAAGTCAGTGTATATGGCGTCCACCTGATGAGAATTCATAAAGGCAGTTAGAATGTGATCCTGGAAGGCGAGTAGGTTGGTAGTAGTCGAGCGTCCCTTAATAAAGCCATGTTGTTCAGTACATATTACACTCTTAAGATGGAATGTCAATCTTTTCAGAACCAGGGATTCGAAAATCTTGGCAACCGTTGACTGTATAACCACTGGGCGATAATTTTTGACATCAGTGGTGGAACCAGACTTGAAGATAGGTGTTATATAGCCCAACTTGAGATTGGTGGGGAAGATGCCAGGTCCATCTCCAAAGCAGGATGACATTCAGCATGAAGAAGAGGGTCTATGGCGTTGTGGACGCGCAAATGTATAGAAGAGAAGACCAGATCAAGAAGAACACCTCGATCATTGTGGCAGCCATGAGCAGGTTGAAATATACGGTAAGGTGAGGAGTTAAAACGCCACTGCAGTATTTCAAAACCAAAGGGGAAATGTCGTCAGGGCCAGCTCCCTTATTCACATCAAGTGAGTTCAACTCATCTTCAACCTCTACACAGCTCACATAGCAAGAGGAGATTGTGGTACATGCCTTGAAGTCATATTGTGGTGGAGAAGAAGTCGGAGACTTGTATACAGAGAAGAAGAACTTTGAAAACAGGTTAGAGATGTCTTGAGGGTTTTCAGCAGATCCATTATCAAGCAGCATTCGGGAAGGAAGTGATGAGGTCTTCTTAGACGAATTGACATAACTCCAGAAGATACGAATGTTACTATTCAGAGATGAGTCAATAGATTGAATGTAAGCTGAGTAACATTTCCTTGTAAGTCTACTGCATGCCGCTTGAATACCACGGAATTGATTATACAGACGGTCATCAAGATTCTGCTTGTAGCGCTTATGTAGGTGCTTTTTCTTGATAATCATAGATTTGAGCTCAGGGGAGAACCAAACAGGAAATGATCGTTTACCAATGTATTTAGATGGGCATGCACTCCTTATAGTATGAGTAAGTTGGAAACAAAATTCAGAAAACAAGTCTTCAACGGGCACAATATTATCCAAAACAGGGTAGTTAAGGTGTTGAACCCATTCGAACACATGGGCGAGATCACACTTCCTTAGGTTAGGAACAAAGGCACTATAGTTGAGGTCTTCTGAAGGATTGATGTCCAGGTCCATCTCCAAAGCAGGATGACATTCAGCATGAAGAAGAGGGTCTATGGCGTTGTGGACGCGCAAATGTATAGAAGAGAAGACCAGATCAAGAAGAACACCTCGATCATTGTAGACATTGTTGTACTGCTTTAGATTGAGAAAATTCATAATATCACAAATAGATTGGGCTGATGTATTGAGGTGGCTAGAAGGACTGGACCAGTCAACGTTCGGTAAGTTGAAATCCCCAATAATCAAAAAAGAATTTATGTCTTGCACTGTAACTGATAGCTCCTCAAGAATTGATGCAAATTCAATATACTGAGTAGAATTTTGATTAGGAGGCAGATAGACACCATCCAGGACAAATAAAGAGTTCTTGAGTTTCAAGGCTGCAAAGACGCATTTAATGTTAAGAGAAGAAGGGGAGAGTTCCCAAGAATCAAACTTGTCACGGATCGCCACGATAACCCCACCACCACTGATTTTCTGGCTCGATTCAATAGATCTACCACACCTGTATACTCTATAATTGATGAAACCCAATTCCATGCTGCTTATATCTTCTGAAAGATTAGTTTCCACCAGTATAATCACATCATACACTGAATGACTAAGGGCTTGACGCAGCGTTACAAGTTTGGAACGTAAACCATTGATGTTCTGAAAAAATACACTTATTTTGTTTGGACCGTTGGAGTTTAGGCGTTTTTTGGTTTCGACTTAGAAATGGAGGGAATACCATTAATGTATCTTATAGTAAGGTCACTCTCACCACCTTTCTTCCTCACTTCAAGCTCATCTCTAAGTTTCTTAAGATGATTCCGCTCCCTAACTGTGCGATCTCTAGACATACTAATTCCGTCATCATCCTCAGCATACTTTTCAGAGAAACGCTTGGAGAAGATCCGAGCTTGGTCAGCATTAGGAAAAATTAACTTTATAGGTCTGGGATTACTTTTCTTGCGGTCCCCAATTCTAAAGAATCTGATAGTATCAAGATTAGCCTCCTGGTACACTTCACACAAAAGATGTTTTATATGGTGACTGTCATGTTTCTTTTTAGATTCAATGTTTGAGTTGGAACTTTCGGAGATACCGTGATACATTACACTGACGTTTATTACGTTCAGTAATCTCCATTAGAGTTTCCTCAAAAGTATTACAGTCCGCTAATTTCGTTTCAACTCTACCCTCAATATCAGAGACCCTGTGCTCAAGTCGCTCAATTCGTGGTTCAAGCTGTTCAAATTTGTCATGGATAGCCTTCACATCATCCTGAATCAATTTTACATTATCTGGTAAATCATTGAGACGATCAACTTTGGCAGAAAAATCGTCTATCTTTTGTGAAAGTGCTGTAAGAATGGAATTCAAACTTGGCAAAGAAGGAGCGTTATCACAATCTACGCGTGAGCATAACCATTTAACTGTATCATCAGTTGCAATTTTCATATATTCTGCTTTAGATATCCCAACGCAAGAACGATGGAACCACCGATCACAGGGGCCGCCACACTGGAGTCCCTCGTCTGTATTTAAAACCTTTTTACAACAGGGAACGCAGGTCGTCTTTATTATATCTGAGTCCATGGTTGAATAATCGCTCAAATTAGGGCTACTCAGTTCACCCTGATATAATAACAAAAACAGATAGCCAAATAAATTGATTTGAGTGGTAGAATTAGTTATAGTATCACTTGAAGAATCAGGTTGAAGGGCGAACGATCTAGAAGGCTGTGGAATGAAAATTTGACGCAGATTCCTCTATGTATGACGTATGAGCAGTGACCAATGACGGGTGTTATTGACTGACGAAAACTGCAATGAAGTTGGTTGAATCCTGTTTGATATTGTTAGTCAGTTTCTGGGGTTCAGGAAATTAATTTATCTTGAGGGTAAATTACGAGTTAACGTGGTTAAGTCAAGTGTCTAAACTTAACTCACAGAAATTGACGATCTCACAATGATCGGGTAGGGCATTAGCTGAGGTAAAATAAGCACAGAATAACAGTAACAATCGGACCAGAAGTATCAACGAATTTCAATATCAGCCATCTTGAAGAAGAAAAAACAAACAAACTAGTCTATATACAAACAAGTAGGCTGTATACACATCAGTTAAAAAAATCAAATTAAAAAATACAATTTTAAAAACATCTATTTACATATAAACAACTCTTTACCTTTGAAAACTGTGGCATGCTGGTTACAAGTTCATAACCTTTGGTTTGTAAATGTTCTACTTACTAGTAAATTAAATACTTAAAGTAAATTAAATTTCCTATTGAATGGTTTCAATCATTTCTATAAAAAATATTATTTATTATTTACTAGCAGAGTACCCGTCCATCGTACGGGATTGGCATATGAGTATAAAATGCTTATTGCAGTTATGCTCAAGCTTTGCGTTTTTCAATGAAGGAGGACAAAGTTTGATACAATTTGCGTCTTTAAATTTACGGTATACTATAGTATTAATTACACATCTACCGTAACCATAATGTTCAACCACTTCAAATAAACAATAGAGAAAAAATATTAAAGAGTTGCAAAATATCAGAAATTATTCATGAAACTAAAACATAAACATAAATTTTAAAAATCATACTTTGACAGTTCTCATTGCGTATCAATTTTTTGTTGTTGCTTGGTTCAAATTAGAAGTTTTCATATGTTTTCATGTATGAAAAAAAATAATACTGCTTCACCCTGTTGGTAAATCATATGACTTTTAATGCTTTTGCACATCATAGAACCAACATTTTTATTTGAAACAGCTGAGTAAATTCTTGAATTCCCTGTAAATATGAATACGCATAATGCAATCGTTTACAACCGAAATTTACAACTGAGTTGACAACAGCTGATTTTTACTCCATAGAGGCTAAAAACGATTTTTACTCCCTAAAGAGTAAAAATGCTACCATTGACTATTGAATACAGAAGTTGTATTAATAGTCAAAGATACTACTTTAGACCCGCAACGCATGCATTAAAAACGACTGTTATTACTGCAGTATGACAAAAACAATATAATATGAACCCTTGATGACTCCGCTCAATTTTGTGGATGCCTCTGCGAACGCCACCTAGTAAGTAATTTCCCTCCCCTGTAATTTGTTCCTAAGTCAATATTACAGAGTTATCCTTTGGGTGGTCATGCAACATTGGCAGGAAGTTTCATAATACGATTTTGAAAATTTTGAGCGTCGTCCAAAAAGGGGGGATTTAGGGCACAACTCAAGCATTTCAAACGTAAACCCCTTCAAGTGACACCTAATTTTAAAGTGTTTACAAAATTTAAATAACCATATAAACCAGACTTTGCTATCTCTGCCCTATCCAAAATGGTAGCCAAAAATGAGAAAATAAATGTAATGAATGTAATCAATGTAATAATTGACTTCCATTTTGGATAGAGAAGAGATAGTAAACTCTGGTTTTCACATTCTATAAGATTTTGTAAACACTTAATAATGAATTGTCA